CACATCTCCCATGCTATCTGGGGTCCATGCCATGTGTGTTTATACGTTTGTTTTTGTTAAGGGGGTTTGTGGTGTGTTTGGGACCCCGGCCCTCCGAAGGCTGGGAGGATTTCGGAGCTTGAGGCCGGTGAAGAAGCTGGCGGTGAAGAAGCCCAAGGCAAAGGCCAAGCCCAAGGCCAAGGCCAAGGTGAACGACAAGATGAAGGAACGGTGGTCTTGTGAACATGGCCTCCAGCAGATTAAAATGGGGCCCAAACAACCGGCATGCTTAGAGGATTCCCTCTTCATGAAGCCCCTATTTTCCGGGTTCTAGCTTTTGGTAGCTGACAGTATGCTTCGGCAAGAACCAGCTTGCAGTGGAGCTCCTATGTGGCCGAATCATGTCCTTGAACATCTCAACTTGTTGCTACATTCCAACTGATTGTCACTCACTACTGCCCCAATCCGTGTGACGTCCCAATCGTGTTGCCAGCTTTGCTGTGAGGCCTTCTGCCATGCGGGTAAATGCTTTAGGGGCTTTAGGGGGGTGCAGGTTTGGGGGTAATTTTTTTAGGGTTTATGTATTTAGGATTTTTGGAGTAAGTTTTTTTCAGGTTATGGTTTTCGGGTTGTTGGGGTTAGAGTGTGAGGCTCTAAGGGTCTAGGTAAAGAGCAAACCACTCCGCAGAGTAGCTTTCCGCTGAGTTTGAATGTTGGGGAACCGGGGCATTGGTTGGAGAGCTCTCGAGAGCCCCAAAGGAGTGGTCATGCGCAACTTCCTGTCGCAAAAAGGCATCTTGAGGGTTCTTGGGGCACACAGATTGGCCGTAGAGATTTAGTCGGGGGAGGAGAAAGGCCCCACATTTTGCACAGAAACGGGGTGTCCAAGGATTTTATGCGGTTGGGCCAAAATGCCCAGGTGAGGTTCGGTCAGTCACCAGTCGTTTGCGGTTCATTTTGGCGAGACATGGGGGACACTGAGCACAACTCCCCAAAACATCCAAGGGGCACACCCAATTGCCCAATGTCCTTGGGACTCATTAGACTTTGGTCCTTGGCTCTTGTGCCTATCGGGACTATCAACAAAAAGTTGGATCAGTTGTTTGAAGCTCTTCGCCCCTTTCTTTTTATACTCAAAGCACCATTGCTGGATAGATCTCAGCAGGAATTCGCTGGTGTTGTTTTGATTCCAAAGGAGAAGCAGCGTGCAACACTTAAATGCTTCAACTGGCAGCCAAGATGCTGGATAGACGCGCGGGGTAGGGTGGGGGTTGTACTTAGCAAAGGCTCGATCTGCGGACGCCCCTGTGTTAAGACTGAATGAAGCTCAACCCATTCAACGATGGACATTATTAACACATGTTTTCAATAAACACAAATCACAATTTGGTTGTCAACTCATTCATGAATGCCTTCGGGTGCTTGTCTTCTCGACATACGGCAGACCCTAGACTGCAACTACATATCAAACCAACTGGCAAAGGAGGTCAAATGGTACCTAACATGCGCCTGAAGCCGCGAAGCGGCATGCACTGGCTGCGGGCTACTCAGATCTCCTGACCTTCTTCTTGCGCCAGGAGAAACTTGCCGCTTTCCCGGCCTCGCAGAAGGTGTGGATTGGGGGCCTTACGGACGCTACGACTTGGACGCCCATTACGCATTAGCACGTTGTGGTCACCCTGCTTTGCTTTGCCTCGCCTTGCTTTGCCTTGCCTTGCCCTTGTCTTCCTCTCCTGTCTTTGCCTTGCATTGCCTTGCCTTGCTTCTCTTTGCAGATGTACATGGTCGCAAGAGCTTTGGTGGCTGGTTTCCCGTACTTGAGCCACAATTAATGCCTAGTAAACCCACCAGGGTTGCCATTCAGGGTAGCTTGGGTGTAGTGGAAACCCAGCAATTTGTGTTTTTGACCCAGGAAAGAGCTGGACAATCACATGGCCACCGCGGCCAAGCCAAAGCTGACGCACGTCTACAAGTCCACAGGCGTCCGGTTTTCAGCGAGTGCGCAAGCTTACCAATCTTTCGGTTGCGCCCAAAAGTTTGTTTTGCTGTTTGCCAGCCGGAAGCAACCCATAGGTGTCCTTTTTAGGTTAGTTTGGCCAATGCACTGGTGAGAATGGCAACTGACGTGCAACAAGAAGCGTGGCTTCCCAGTGCACAAAAGCTGTTGGCATGCGTGATCTTGAACGCCGGCAAGCAATTGCTTTGGCACAGGCGTCGTGGTGCCTCGGCAGCAGCGGAGTATACCGAAAAGACGGCCATAGCTGGTGCCGTGCTTTTGAAAACAAAGGGGCTTATCCAGTCAGGAGAGACCTTAGGACCCCAAGATTTCAGACTTTGATCAGAGCCCTGAAGTTCTAACATGGGGAGCGGAGCCTTGAGTTCCCTTAAGGTATATGAGTCGGAAGAGGACGTGGCGAACGTGATTTCGTTGCTCGATGGCTCGGAGCTGAACGGCAACACGCAACTTTGGATGAACAGTCTCGAAGTCTCGAGAGAGTCAGGTTCTGAATGACCTGTGAGTCATTGACAATAGAAATTCCTCGTGGTCTACGGTTGGTCTGAGTATGACGAGGAGGGGAATCTCAGAAAAAAAACCAGGCGGCCTACTCAATTCTCCATGAATAAGCAAAAATTGTCCCGGGTTGAGTCGTAGCGGGCACGGTGTTCCCTCAGGCCAGTCCACCTGTTGAGGGTGTCCGAAAATCATGGAGCCTCACAGCGAGCAACACTCAGTAGGCACTTGGGACCCCAATTGTGGCCCGGCAATTTCCAAGGATATCTCTGAATGGGTACGAACTCTACGTATTGGTTGGGCATGCTAGGTGGTTTGCACAAAGGGTTGGCTTCCTTGGTTTCCACAACAACCAATGCGGGGCCTGCTCCCCATCTGAGCTTGGATCACACTGGCTTCTTTTGGTTCCAAGATTCCCAACCTCCCAAACAGGGTACCGAATCAATCGCAAACGCCCATGCCTCAAAATCAGAGAGCGGATTTTGCATGGGGAAACCTTGAACCTCCCCCCCTCTTGAGTGCTGCAGGTTGTGCAACTTGCCATTTCGGCAACTTTGACTGTGGCTTGACGGTTCAAGGCCGTACCCGTAGAGTGAGGCATCGAGACCATGTGATTGGAACACAGCGCTTATCCACGTTGCTTCAGGGATACATGTTCCTTCTCAAATATGTGATTTAGAGGGTGTGGATGCATCTTCCTTTTTTTCGGGGAGTAGGGGAGGGGGTGGTACTCATTTGTTGGCATCTTCAAAAGGAAGTCAGCATCGCTCTTGTCCAACTGTTTTTCCTTAGGACGGTGAAGCCTGTGAACACTGGCCGACACATCTGGGTATGGCTCAAAAAAACCGGTACCAAAATGGGTTGCCATGGTAAGTGGAGATATGGCCGAAAAACCTGCGCAACCCTAGCTTTTTAATTTTGAGCCACTGCCATCTACCAACTGCGCAGCGGAGTTCGTTCAGGGTTTTCGGGGCGACACGGCCCGCTGTTTTCTGGAGAAAATCCAAGGCTGCAGCTCGATGTGTGGACCATGCCGGAGAAGAGAGAGAGGAAGGCAGGTCCGCTTCAACGTCACTGGGGGCGATGGTTTTGTTGGTTGGGGGGTACTGAAAAATATATTTGGGCTCTGAGGCTTCTTTGGGTTGGGTGTTTTGGTCGTTTCCACGGAGGGTCAAATTCCTCGGGAGTCAATTCGGTTCCAATTTCAGCCAGGCGAAGACTATCAAAGTTGCCGCTTGGCTGCACCCGCTTGCGCTGGTTTCCTCATGAACTCCGCAGCCTTGTCTGTCTGAGGCTGGGTTTTTGGATCCTGTGAAACACGATGAACCACAAAACTGGGCAGGCTTCCTCAATGGTCCTTTCAAAGCCAATTAACATGGCGTCCCCGCTTCCATGAACGTGTCTCGAGTAAGGCGCCCCTCCAGACGATTGAATTCCTTCTGCTTGCCCTGCAAAACCGTTCAAAAAGAGGTTCGACCGAGCCACAGAGATTGAGGAGTCCAGTTTCAGTATTTTGACTCCCTGGATTGCTCAAAAAATAAATAAATATATATATATATATATGTCTGCAAGACGCTGATGCCAGATGGTGGTTTCGCACGCATTTGTTGCGGACTGGGATGGGGATTGCTCCCCATTTTGCACGAGACTCAGTTGGCTCTCTGAGGAAACTGAGAATTGATCGGCGTGGGAAAGGCGGATTTTGGAAGTTGGCAGCAGTCAACTTAGTAGTTGATTGGCTGCTCAAAGAGCCGCTCGCAAGGATATGACTGGCCGCTCGAGTTTCGTGCAATGAACGCGTTGCGTTGTCAATGCAATTCAGCTTGCAAAAAGACAACCTCGCACTTGCCGGACTGCAAGACTGCAAGCGGGGCTGTGGAGGCGTTCCCTGGATACCAGGGTATGCACCTCAACATGGCATGCTTTGGATGGACAACAGCCACCAGTAGGTAGGTATTTATCCCATTCATAGGGCTTGAACCATCCCAATCGGTGCATTTTAGTACTGTTAGCTTTAGGAGGACGTGCCGAGGGGGGGAATAAAGTTCACCGCGGAAACCAGGCCGACTCAATTCAATATGTTGTAGGTTTTTTGGGGAACGAATCAACCCAGCAATCACTAATCAGGGGGTAGTGCTGGAATCCCCCAAGAGGCACACCTAAGTGGGGGAGCGGCATGAATCATGGGTTGACATCATTGAAGCCGAGTGCGACATGGCCAGGCGATGGATTCCTTGGTTCTCAGCCAAACTGTTCCCTTGATTGGATGTCACCCACATAGTTGTCCTATTTAGGTTAGTACGGCTAGAAATAGATCGATTCCACTGGTTTAGATTGGTTTTATGGTCCATTTACCAGCAAGACCCCCAAAAGGTCGCCAACCAGGCCCTCCCCCCCGAACAACTGCTTTTTCCTACGTCGAAAATCTCAAACACTGTCAAAAAGCAGTCGTTCGGCTACGATTTTTCTCCAAAAGGTCGCCAACGGTGGAGCGAGCTGGCTCCCGCAGGAGCTTCACCCCTCTGCTGATCCAGGCAGAGGCAGCACTGGCCATCTCCCAGCTGGAGGCGAGCGGGTTAGCCAGGTTCAAGGACCAAGGGGAAATGACAAAAAGTCTCTGGTGTTTTCAATTGGAGAAACCAAGGGAGAAACAACAACGGGAGGTTATGTTTAGTTGTTTTGTTCGTTATGTTTTGGTCATTTTTATTTATTTATTATTATTATTTTGGGAGGAGGGGGTGTTCTGGGTTTGGCTTCTCGGTTTGTGCTCTTTTTTTTCTGTTTGGTTTTTATCTTTCGGATAAATCGGGGGTACATGGGTTTGTCTCAAACTATATCTATTGTTTGTTGTCATGTACTGCAGTCAAGGCGATATCATGGGTACACTCACCAAAATTTCAGGAAATGGAAGGTACTCAGCTGGAAATGGAAAGGCGGAACGTACTCTCCAACCAAGCGGAGCCCCTGAAGGATTTTTTCCGTTTTTCAGGGATTCCTTTTAGGTTCTACGCTTCTTCTAAACAGAAAAATAACTGTTTTTGAGAACCACAAACCAGGTCGAACCGTGAGGAGAGTTTCGAGGGTGCATCACCCATGGTATAACCACTCAGCTTTGAACAGGGCTTCTTAAAAGATACATTTTGCCCATTTGAAACATGGCTTTTTCCACCAAAATAAAGGGACAGGTGTATAATGTAAGGATCCCTGTTGAAGGGTATGACCACTATACATAATCCACTATACATAATCCACATCAAATACTCGACAGTTCCCCCAGAAACGGAGGACTTCCCAAAACCGACCCCATGAGCCTGCAGAAACCTAGTGGAACGGGACCCTAAAAAGTGATCTGATCAATGGTCCATTGATACTGTGGATGGACGAGATCCTGCACCACTTTGAAACCATGGGAAATCATTGCTTGTTGGTATTAACAGGGGACTCACCATTCCAGGGTTTCTTAGGTGGTGCAGGATTTTGTCCATCCACAGTATTATGACCACTTAACTGCCAAATAACTGCTAAATAAAGGGTCGCTTCTCTTCCCCAAAGAGAGCCAACGGCCCTGAAACGACTCACAGCGGTTTGGATGGACGCATAGGGGGTTCTCAAAGGAGACCTCCAAAGGTGGTAGGTTTGCTTTTGGGTTTCCAGATTGGAATAACAGCCAAAAGGTATTAGCCCGGTATCCCCATTGTGTAAGGGTGGCGTTGCCCTTTTTCCTTGGGGGCAGCGGCAACCCTGTTAGAGATGACCTGATGTGCGAGTATTGCACGTCGAAGGTGTGGGTTCCCTGAGAAATGGATCCTGACAAAGGTGTCCCTTGTTGCTTGACTTTAGGTGGAAAGCGCAAGGAGACCACGCAGAACCTGGCTGACAAGTTTAGTTTTTGGTGTTCTTTCCTAGACCATCACCAGAGTAGTTCTACTTTTGAGACGAACTCAAGTAGGTATTCCACCTTCGCTTAGCATTGACGGGCTACAAGGAAAAACTATAGCCATTCGATGGTTGGTATCATCTTGGTTTTCTTAGAGCCCCCACTTTTTCAGCGGCCTTGTTGCGACACGCGGTTGCAGGCGGAGCGTGATAGGCTGCCTGATATAGAGACATCGGTCTGGATCTGAGCCGATGGCTGGTCGCGCGTTTTGTTGGCCCTAGACTGCCCACTTCCCAAAGCGCGTAAAGGCCATGAAGCAAACAGCGCGACCTTTTGTTTCTTGTCATATGTTACATATGTTGCTCTTTGGCATGTCGGAGTCCGTGCACAGGGGGTTGGGGTTTTGGGGTGTGCCGGGAGAGGGGGGAGGGGGGTTGGGCACTTCGCCTGAAGCAGGCCAGCTTCTTGGGGGTTCATGGTTGCAAGACGTCATGCAAATGTCAGATGAATCCATGAAGGCGCGGCTGAAATGGGCGATGGCGTGCCATCAACACCCTTCTTGCCCAATGCGTTAATCTCAAAAATGCGGGGCTGGCTAAACTTGTATGAACCTCCGGCGAAGCAGTGTGCCTGGTGTTCCTGTCCCGACAAAGCCTTTGAGCTTAAGGAGCTCCCAACCCATACAACGCAGTGACACGTAAAATGGGTTTGGCTGAAAAGTGGTTTTCCAAAGCTCTGACTTCAGTGTTTCTCTCTTTCGACACGAATGCGGTTTGCACTGGCGTTCTTTCAGCAAGATTGCAAGCCCACACTTCCCAGCTTTTACCACTGCCGAAGAAGCTCCGGGTGTCCAAAAGGGGGTGGGGGTATGACCCAAATCAAAGGCCACCAGACCCGTTTTCAGCGCGCCCTGAAGTCTCGGCGGCAAAAAGTCCCAACCTGAATCGAGCAAGGGGGTGTCCCTTTTGCCCCCGAAGCCTATGTGGGTGGCTCGTCATTTTTAGGGAGCCCCCCCCCAAAAAAAAAACAATATGTGGTTAAGAGAGGGGTTCCACTAAAAAGGACAGAGCCACTGACGCTTCACAACCTCGGAGAGAGTCAACTAGCTGGTCCTCGGTAGGGTTTTCGGGAATGAACTGGCAGGTACCTAAAGGAATCCTAGCGATGATTCTTTCCGGGACCCGCTTAGGTCTTTGCGAATGGCCACCCTTTTCCAAGCCCAAACGCCAGGTTTTGATCTCCATTTTCCCTGGTTGGGCCCAAAAAGCAGGTTGTGTCAGCATAGGCCCATGTCAAAATATCCCTAACCCGGACGAGGCATTGTCCCCCCGCCACCACTCCAAAGCGTCGTCCGAGCGCTCGCTCGCAGTAGTGAGGTGGTCCGACGCCCTCGGCAGCTGCTGCTGCAACTCTCCCGGGAGGATCTGAGAGCTGAGCTGCTGGGGGCTGAGGGGTTGGGGGGGGGGGCGGGCGCCTAAGAGGGAGTTGGTTTGCTTGGAGGTTCAATCCCGTAGATGCCTGGACCCTCAAACTGGCCTTTGGGTATTGCCCCCCAGAGAAGGTCGGAAGCCGGGGGCTGGGGAACCAACCTTTGCTACCTGTGATGGGTAATTAAGATCTAAGCAGGTTGAACCTTCAGGTGGCTTCGCGGAGGTTCGTGAGACTCAGGGGTCCGCGTTTATCGAAATAACTCAACCCACTCAACAGGGTGCCCCTCTACAAAGACAGGTTGGTCTATGAAGCGGTCAACAGAATTCCAGTCTTTGACTACCACAAGGCGGACTTAACCCCAAAACCTGGTTGAAATTCAACCAAGAAAGGAACCCCTCAATGCAGTTTTTCCCTTGGGGTGGGCGAAAATTGGAAGCCTGGGTCAACATTCCAAGGCAAGGAACAAGGGGTGCGGAGCTCGCTACGTGACTCAGGTCAGTGCAGTTGCCACCTTCCTTTCCACTCAGGCAGGGAGTTGCTCTAGCTCTCCGGCTGATGAACTGGTAGTCTTTTAGTTCGAGGACGAGAAAGGGGTGGCCACCCGAAACTGCGACAAACACTTGCTGGTGCGATAGGCAGGGAATGAGGGAATGACTCTTTTCAACCATCGTTAACCATCCAACTGGTGGTTTCACTTACAGGGACCCCTGGATGTATTCCCACATTCCCTACTGAGCACCAGCAAGAAAAGCATGGCCTCATTTCCCCATGTCCTTTTCGGAAAGCACGTAAGCTTTGTCTGGGGCGCACCTTTTACTCCCTTCGGATTGGCCTCAGCGAGTTGGTCGAACTGAACAATGGCCATCCCAAACACATGGTCCCATGTTTTTTGTTTTTGATGGTTTTGAGTTTTTTTTTTTTTGCCAGCCACTGGCAACAAGTGAACAGTTGTTGTTTCGTTCGGAGGGACAAGTGCTTGAGAAGCCGTCAAGTTCATAGAGCCTCGGTTCATTGAAAGAACAAGGGTGGTCTAGGTGTCCCTAAACAATGTTGAAACGGCAGAGGCTAACGCAAGAGTTAAAAATGGGGCCCACCTTAGGTGGTCACTTTGTTTATCGCCATGCGGATTATGTGCTTTCCTCAGCATGTTCGACTCCTCGGCCCTCAGCGCATGCAGGCTGCTCTTCTGTTTCCAGATGAAAACAACCCTAGGAAGGGTACCATCAAAAAGACAGCCACATCAACCTACATGGGTGTCCTTGTTTGAGGAAACCGCTGTTTGGGCTGGTTTCAAGGGGAAAGCTTGTTTGAGCGGGCATGTAAGTTGATATGGTTATGCCTTGATGGATGGAACACCCTCAAAATTGGTTGGCAAAGGAAATTCATGTAGATGGTGTCCACAGTCAATTCTGGACCGCCCCCCCCCCAAAAAAGAAAGAAAGAAGAGGGAACAGTAGTCTTGAAACCAGCATAAGTTAGCTTCGTGTGGCCAAATGAAATCAACCCACAAACACGCACACACCCACCCACAGGACAAATAAGGCCACCCCAAGCAATGGTGGTATCCTTTTGAGCTTCCCTCTTAAACGAGCTTGTGCTGAGAGTCCCAACCCTGAACCCCTGGTGTAGCCAGCTGGTTGGCAGTGCCGTCCAACACACACAGAGGGGAGTTGCACCGAAAACAGCGGCGCTTGCTATGCACTTCTCACGGCCGAGAGTTCTTTGCAGGCCAGCCAGGGCGGAGTTCCCCGAGAAGATGCCGCAAGCACAGCCGAAAGGTTGAATGGGCCAGGCCTGCCTGTTTTTTTTCTCCAGACATATCAACATCATACTTCCATTTGCTGAAATAAATATGTTTTATGTTCCCTGTTGGTTTTGAAGGGAACCTATCACCACTGGAAGTACTTATATTTTTTCCAGGGAGCTTGAGCAAATGGAGGAATATGAGATAGCAACATGCAATGATTTCGGTGCATGGGGTGCCAAGGACGTGACTTAAAGTCCACGCCAGGCATATGGTTGACAGACCAAGTCTGGCATGTATGGTTTTTTCGTCATGGCACTTGAGTCTGTAGGGCTTGCCGTTGAGCGGCCCAACAGTTGGCGGTGAAACCTTTGACAGACGGGGTCCATTTCTGGGCCCTTTTTTGTGCCCGTGATGCTGGGGCCACTAACTCACGCCCCAGTTTGGCGGAAAAGAACAAGTTCATGCTTGTTTGCGAGGAAGTGAGCCAAACCGGACATGGCTTGCTTGCTTGTTTGAGGCGAGGAGGTGTTCTCAAAATTGGTTCTGGGGGTGCAGCTATGACCCAGTGGCAGGTTATGTCTCGAGAAGGCTCAAGACAATGCTTGGGGTACTGTCCGCTCGCTCTCAGGCTTAATGCAAAAGCCAGAGCCACAATCTGGTTCAGATGATTGGGCTGTGTGAAGACCCCTCAAGGGGCATGTGAGCTATGGACAGTATTTCCAGGGTATGGGTTTTACGTAGGCCTCCTCCTAGTTTTCGTGTCGGATCCCCAGCTGAACCAAAACCGGTGCTGGGGATTTGGGGTGACCTCAAAATTGCAGGTTTCCCTTAGCTTCCCTTGGACAAAGACGCACCCATGTAGCCCGCTTCGCTGTCAAAAGCCATGGCTAGCGACGGGAAGCTCCACAAATGCGGGCATTGCGGGGAGGAGTGCGCCTCCCGAAATGCGCTCCTTGGCAGCCGAAAGGGGCTTCGTAAAGAGATTTGCTTTTTTGCAGCTCAAGGATTGGTTGTTTGTGTTGGAAGGTTATTCAGACTTGACTTTTGGAACTCGCGATTTCTGGGGCATATCCCACTTTTCGGTTGGGCTTTGCCGGGGTCGAACCAAGGCTGTTCAAGCACTTGGGCGCCAAGTGTGACCCACTGGCCGCCAAGGCCAAGGAGGGCAAGGAGCGGATCCCGAAAAGGGGAGGGTCGCTTCAGCAAAATCCCAAGCCAGACGAGTGGATTCTTTCCCCATGGGGAAACAAGTTGTTCTGACTGTGGCTCATGAGCACAGCCCGTGAGAGTCTTTTTTCGCATTCGTGGCCTGCCCAAAGGGCCTGGTGAAGGTTAACCCCAGGCAAAGAGCCGTGATAGTGTGGGTGTTCGTCCAGCATGTTTGCAACACACCTTGTGCTCCGTGCGGGGCGAAGTTTTTAAGGGGAGAGATGAGCAGTCAATATATAACGTTGATACACTCACCAGATTGCCAATAGAACATGGACGCGACTCACTAAAGCACGAGTGTCATGGCAGGACAGAATGGACAGAATGGACAGAATGGACAGAATGGACAGAATGGACAGAATGGACAGAATGGACAGAATGGACAGAATGGACAGACGTGGCTCAATAGCAACGGTTTCGGGTGAGCCTTGTTGGTCTTGCAGGTTGACGGGCGTCATTTATTATTGGTGGTCCCCTGTCGGTGTGTTGTGGTAGTATGCTCGGGGGACAAACGGTTTCTAAAAAAGGAATTTCAGCTTGCAAGAAAAGACAATCATGTGTGTAGCATCCTAAGACCCGTTTGTCGTCACCCATTTAGGGTCACCCACATTGTCCGCTGCTCATTGGTTTTCTTTGACAAGAATCCTGCCATGCTCCCGATGAAGGCCTATGACTTTCGACAGCCCAAAACCCCGCCCAACCCACGTGAAATTGTTGGCACTTGGGCGACCCTTTGGCTTATTGAGATTCGTTGGCCTGCTTTTGGTTGGTTTCAAAGGGAAACCAAAAGGAAGACCAACATGTTCTCGCGGGTCAGTAGGGAATGCCCCAGGTCTTTGGGAATGATCCCGATTTGGATTCCCTTGGAAACCAAATCGGGGACAGTTTTCTGGGGTCATTCCAATTCTCATTCCCTGCCTATTTTTTGCAAACTCTGCAAGGAGACTCGCCTAGTTGCCTCAAGTGATTGGCATAAGCCCAGCCCGAACCAGCAAGTGTTTGGTGTCCAAATCCTGAGAAGAAAGACGAGCCACCCATTTTTCGACCCAGACAGAACAGGAGCGGCTGCTCTTTGGCGTCGGGTATCTGGGCTCACGCTATCGCTGCGGCGCCCTGCAGAACGAGCGGGATGAGGCGATGATTTCATGTGGACGCCTACTCTGCCCAACGCCCGCCTTTTGACCTTTTGGTCGGACCGTGTTTGGTCCATTTTCAGTAAAGGCCCCAAAGGTCAACGTTTCAATAATTACTAGATCTTTTCTTGGGTAATCCCTTAGTTGGTGGTTTGGACTTTGGATTTGAATCCTTGGTTCTTGGGAGTAAATGGGAATCACGTACTGAGCACCCAGCCACTTTAAGTGGGGCCTTTGCGTTCCAGATTTGCATGCTTGGTGTTGATTCTAAAAGAAAAACAACAGGGAGAAGTCACCTTTTTTCATGGACACCTTTTTTGGATGTTGTGTCTAGCCATCCAAAATGGGTTTCGTAGGGGAACCCAAAGAAAGCAAAAGAGAAACCAACAGATGCAACAACATGTTGCATTCTGGCCAACTTCCAAAAAATGAATTCAAACAGAAAGCAGCAAGAGAGACCACTAATAAGCCAGCAAAAGACAATTTCTGAAAGAGGTGCCCGGTACAGTGGATGGACAAAATCCATTTCGCACCACCTAAGAAACCCTGGTTTCTGATTTGGTTCCCCAACGTAAATACCAACAAACACTGGGTTTCAACCATGGTTTCATTGACAATTCCAAGAAGCAGTGGGTTTATTGAAAATTTCATTCCCATGGGTTTCCAAATGGTGCGAAAGCCCGGTCGTAGGAAACCCCCCCGAAGTTCGGCTAGGATCACATGACAGGCGAGCATGGGATCGGTGGAGGGCGCGCTGATCTCGGCGGTGCAGCGCGCCTGGAAGCTCGAGCCCGCAAGTGTGCTGGGGGTGGCAACTTGGCTCGCGGATTTTGGGCGACGCCCGTGGTATTTGTTTGTGAGCAGGATCTAGGGAGAAAAAAGGCGCCTGGTGTTTTTTTGTCCGGGTGATAGAAATGAAATGCAGGCTTCTTGGGCTTGACCCGTGCTTTGAGTTGGATCTACGGATGGTTTGAGAGGTGTGGAGATGGAAATGGTGTGAGTCCAGGTGGTTTGGAGATAGAGATGCAGGCTTCTCCAGGCTTGGGCTTGACGCAAACGATCAAAGGTGAGGGCGGCGCGCACAGATCGGGGCTTCCATGCCAACGAGAACGTGGTGGTGCTGATGCTGAAGCCTTGCCTGCTGGAGGCCAGTTGCAAAGCACACACTACGTCTGTTTGACCCTCTCTGGCTCAAAAGGGAAGCCGAAAGGGAGGCCACTATTTGTTTACCACTATTTTGACACATGCCCGAATGGCCAAGAACCTGTCGGAGTTGTTTGGTCATTCAGGAAGTCAACGCCCACTAACGGGGTACGGTCCCTAGGGTGTGCGTGTGAGCCTGTTTTCTCCCCAGGCGAGCTCTTTCTCCCTCCACAATGATCCACACCAATCACCCCCCCCCCAGGTCAGGTTCCATGAAAACAGGTGTACAGAGGATGCAAGAATTGATCTACAAAAGTCTTGCGATAATGCATGAGGGGGCAAGAACCTACGTTCATTCTGAGTTTGTTTTGCCCCCCCAGCTCCCTTTTAACTTTTCCTGCAATGGATGTTCATGCTCATGAAAACACTGGCTCTTTTCCAGCGGGGTGCCAAGTCTTGCAGACATGACCCAATCCAATATGTTGCAGTGATGTATATTCCCATCCGAACCATGAAACCTGACCCGACCCCCCCCCCCAAAAAAAAAAAACAGCAAAACAAGCAAACAAACCTCCCAGTTGAGGGCCCAAAGCCGAAGGGAAGCAAATTTGGCCAGGAGGAGAAGCTCCGGAAGGAGCTGGAGACCTCCGAAATCTTCCTGCTGTGCCCGGTGAAGCCCGTCCCCTCCTTGGCACAGCCCACCGTCTTCGATAAGGTTTACGCGCCCAGGCCAGGACCCCAAGGGCTGCATCCCCAAAGACCCAGGTGAGCCACATGCTCAAAACCGATTCGGGTAGATGAAGGTTAGTAAGGGACAATCCCAACTATAAATAGCTGCGGCCGCCTTCTTAGTTCTTGAAGCATGGTTCTGGGTAGACCATTTTGATACCGGGTTTTGATTAGAACCCAGGTGGTTCTGCTACCTGGTTCGAGAGGGAGTTTTTGGTAAGGCCCCTTTGAAGTCTTAAAGAAAAGTGTAGCTGTGTTGGTAGAACCAAGAATCAACGGGTCTTGAGGACAACACGTGGGATTTGCCCTTATTTTGACATATATCCTATTTGGCCAACTAAACCATGAAGCCTTGCCACCACACCAAGAGCAATCACCATGCTGGTTGGGTAATGATTAGACTGACACTGCGAGAACTTTTGTGCTCCAGGGACCCCCCCTCAATCACCTCATGTTTGACCTGGATTTTCGGCTCTTTGGGGAAACAGATCGAAACAGACATCCGAAACCAGGTCCGGTGTTTCCGCGTCCCCTTGGCACAAATCGGTGCGAGTGAGGCGGAAGAGCTTCACGGTGCACATCCCCTACTTCGCTATTGTGACCAAGGATTGACTGGGGTCATTATTTTGACTGTTTCTGGGGTGTATCAACGTCAGAAAGTGTGGTTGTTTCCCTTTAACCCACCACTTAGGGGGTAACTTTGATCATGGTAAAATCATTTGGCCAGAGTGACTGCTCGAAGAGTCCCTCCCGACCACCAACCGAAGGAGTTTGAAGTGCCCTGGGAAATGGAAACA